TCCAGCTTCAAAAGTTCCCTCAGCTGTTGATAATCTTCCACCTCCGACGTCCTTATCCAACTATCAAACAGTTGAGACAGTCTTGAGGCCACCTGAGCAAAACTTTGAGCTTTATCCTTTTTTATTGTCCTGAACTTAAATCTATAATATTCAGGAGTCAATCTAAATTCTTGTTGAATCTGCTTCTTAAACAGATCATAGTCTCCATAAGACTCCTCAGGCATCTGTCCATAAATCTGCAAAAGTTTCCCACTTATTTGTGGCCTTAGGTATGTCATCCATCTTTCTTTAGCCACATCAAAATCTCGACAACATCTCTCAAAAGATATTAGGAATTTCTCTGGATCATCGTCTTTGTTGAATTTTGGGAATTTCTTCATCAAATCTGGGGTATTTCCTCCAGATCTTCCCTCCTGGGTTTCACTGGCTGTTTGAGACAAAGCCAATCTTTGTTTCTCTAGCTCAAACTCCATTCTCTTCAATTCTAACTCCTGTTCCAATTCTCTCACTCTCTGTCTTTCTTCAAACTCTCTCTGTTTTGCCTCTTTCTCCATTTCAAGTTCTCTTTCCCTCTGTCTCTCTTCCATCTCGATTTGCAATCGTTTCATCTCTAACTTGTACTTAAAAGCCATTTCTGAGAAAGGTATTGGCTCATCTGTTTCAGAGCTCGAATTTTCCTCTACTCTTTCCTCAGCTAGCTTTCTCTGCCGCCTGGTAGCCATTTTTCAGCAACTTTTACCTCACAACTTATTTCAAAATTAAACTTAAGGCACTCGATTAGCTGTTACACGAATCCCGTCGTCTGCCACCAAATTTGCGAAGCCGTGACTCCCACCGCTTGTTACTAAAAATTTAAAACCGTTCACTTGCTGCCACCAAAATATGTGAGGAAGTCTCCAAAATGAAATAATGGTGTAAAATCCCAAATAAATAGGATCACCACACAGATGTAATAAAGATTTGAGACTTCTAGCTTAAATTGCCACCATAATATAAGTGATATTGGTAAAAATGATCTCTGGTTATCCTTATCTGTGTTGTGAGGCACCTTGGGTAGTGTGGAATGCTTCAAACGTGGAAATCAGTGAAGGAGGCAAGTTTAAAACACAAAAAGAACAGGTTTATTGTTATCAGAGCGTAAATTGTTGCAAAATTAAACTGTTGAACTTGGCACAAGCTTGATGGATACAAAATGGCTTGGTTGAGTTACATTAAGTCTTCCGATGTTACAATCCTTTAACTCTTTCTACAGTGAGGTACTTTATTATTTCAGTGTTCCCTATTGTGAATATTTACAACTGTTTGTCCTTCACCGGATCAAACCAACGATCTCCAGATTTTCACCACTGGGATCCCTGAAACCCTTTCTTGTTAGATTCTTTTCTACTCAAGCAATCTAACGAGTTTCCACCTTCAGCTTCCTAGCTGGAATAATATTCACAAAACCTAAGAACTAACTGAATTTACACTACTCCACAGAGCCTCCTTGACTCTGCTACTCTCCTCAGGGTCTCATCCGCCTGACTGAAAATAAACTGTCGCTTTCAAACCTTTTTTACCTAAGCTCCGCCCACCTCCTCTGGCTTGTCACCATGGCAACCTATCTCTCTCTCAGCTAGGCCCTGGCCACAATGTAAAGCCTAAACACAGTTTGAAACACAGTATAATGAACACTTCTCTACACTCCACTTAGGCAGAAAAAACGAAATGCAAAGAGACAGAACGGGGGACGATGATGCCTGGCTTGAGAGCAGCACGTGTGAAAAAGATCTTGGAGTCCTCGTGGACAACAAGTTAAACATGAGCCAACAATGTGATGTGGTGGCAAAAAAAGCCAATGGGATTTTGGCCTGCATCAATAGGAGCCTAGTGTCTAGATCTAAGGAAGTCATGCTCCCCATGCTCTATTCCGCCTTGGTTAGACCACACCTGGAATATTGTGTCCAATTCTGGGCACCACAATTCAAGAGAGATATCGACAAGCTGGAATGTGTCCAGAGGAGGGCGACTAAAATGATCAAGGGTCTGGAGAACAAGCCCTATGAGGAGCGGCTTAAGGCGCTGGGCATGTATGCAATGGAGGAATGGCTTCAAATTACAAGAGAGGAGATTCCATCCAGGCAACAGGAGACAGGCTACCTCTTAACAGATACTCTCATTGATTAACTTTGGAGCCTCATGGCAACTCGATACTATTCAAGCTTGCTAATTGCAACATTCACGCTTGATTCAAACAGACAGAATCACTGGGTTGCTGTAAGTTTTTCGGGCTGTATGTAAACATGGCTTGCATCAATAGTTAGCATAGTGTCTAGATCTAGGGAAGTCATGCTCCCCATGCTCTATTCTGCTTTGGTTAGACCACCCCTGGAATATTGTGTCCAATTCTGGGCACCACAATTCAAGAGAGATATTGACAAGCTGGAATGTGTCCAGAGGAGGGCGACTGAAATGATCAAGGGTCTGGAGAACAAGCCCTATGAGGAGCGGCTTAAGGAGCTGGGCATGTTTAGCCTGAAGAAGAGAAGGCTGAGAGGAGATATGATAGCCATGTATAAATATGTGAGAGGAAGCCACAGGGAGGAGGGAGCAAGCTTGTTTTCTGCTTCCCTGGAGACTAGGACGCGAAACAATGGCTTCAAACTACAAGAAAGGAGATTCCATCTGAACATGAGGAAGAACTTCCTGACTGTGAGAGCCATTCAGCAGTGGAATTCTCTGCCCCGGAGTGTGGTGGAGGCTCCTTCTTTGGAAGCTTTTAAACAGAGGCTGGATGGCCATCTGTCAGGGGTGATTTGAATGCAAGATTCCTGCTTCTTGGCAGAATGGGGTTGGACTGGATGGCCCATGAGGTCTCTTCCAACTCTTTGATTCTATGATTCTATGGTTCTGTCCATCGCTGGTGTCAGGAATCTATTTGTGTCAACCAACTTCGGTTTAGTGAGATCAGTTGTGTCAAACATGTTTTGGTCTTCGGCTCTGAGAATTCCTGGCCATTGGACAACCTGGTTAGGAACTTCTGGGAGTCAGAGGCCCAAACATCTGGAGGGCCACAAGTTTGGCACCTTTGAGTTAGAAGGATATTTTGGAGAATCTTGTGAGTAACGTGCAGGGGTATCTCACCCCACAGTGATATCTCCCTTATTTCCGAAAACCACATACTAACTTTTGATTTTGCATCTTTCAGGGGAACATAACTCCACAATGTGTATTCTGGGATATGGAAGGTAAGTGCCTGAGATGTTATATATATGTTACTGTATTGTACTATACCACTACACTGCAATATTATTAGTAATATTACATGTAAATATACAATTATTATATTATTAGTAGTATTATATTGTATTACATCATAATATTGTAATAGATAATATATAATATAATTTAATCTATATAAATAAAAATGTAATGTTCGTTTGTGGGATTAACAGAACTCAAAACCACTGGACGAATTGGCACCAAATTTGGACACAATACACCTAACAACCCAATGTATGTTCTTCACTCAAAAAAAAATTGATTTTGTCATTTGGGAGTTGTAGTTGCTTTGATTTATAGTTCACCTACAATCAAAGAGCATTCTGATTGATCTGGACCAAACTTGGCACGTATACTCAGTGTTTCCAAATGTGATCACTGATGGAGTTTGGGGAAGATAGGCCTTGACATTTGGGTGTTGTGTTTGCTGGGATTTATAGTTCACCTACATCAAAGAGCATTCTGAACTCCACCAAGAATGGAATTGAACCAAACTTGGCACACAGAACTCCTATGACCAGGAGAAAATACTGGAAGGGTTTGGTGGGCAGTGTCCTTTGGTTTTGGAGTTGTAGTTCACCTACATCCAGAGATCACTGTGGACTCAAACAATGATGGATCTGGACCAAACTCTACACGAATACTCAATATGCCCAAATGTGAACACTGGTAGAGTTTGGGGAAAATAGAATCTTGACATTTGGGAGTTGTAGTTGCAGGGATTTATAGTTCACCTACAATCACAGAGCATTCTGAATCCCACCAACGATAGAATTGGGCCAAACCTCGCACACAGAACCCCCATGTTGGCCACAGCAACGCGTGGCAGGGGACGGCTAGTATAATATATAATCTATATGAATAAAAATGTCATATTTGTTTGTGGAACTAACTCAAAAACCACTGGACGAATTGACACCAAATTTGGACACATGACACCTATCAGGCCAACGAGTGACCATCACTCATAAAAACACTGGAAAAACACAGCAGAGGGGACTAAACCCCCCCCCCCCAAAATAAAAAAATCATTACAGTGCATGCGCGTAACCACATAGATACACATATACACAAATATATGCACAAACATATACACATACAAAACAAATATACACAGACTGGGCCACAGCAACGCATGGCAGGGGATGGCTAGTATATAATATATATGCGGAGTGGATGTAAAACGCTAACCCTTGCTACTGTTAATGGGCAAGGCTGGGCACTAAATTTGCAAGCCAGAGCTTACTGAGTTTCTGATAGACGAAGTATGCTTCCCTCTCTTCCCTTTTCTATTAAAATCTGAGGTTTTAAGCTAAAATGATTGATATCTTTTCATTGGGTTCAAATCAGACCACCCTTCTGCGTCTCTGCGTGAGTCACAGTTCTCAATAAACCACGGACTGCAAAGAGAGGAGCCCACAATAGTGGATCACTTTGCAGTAAAGATTGCATGCTCCAGTTACACATGTCAAAGACAGAGAAAACTGGGTTGTTGTAGGTTTTTTCGGGCTATACAGCCATGGTCTACAGGCATTCTCTCCTGACGTTTCGTCTGCATCTATGGCAAGCATCCTCAGAGGTTTATTTATCGTGTCATCAGCAACCATACCATTGTGTTACATTTCTAACAGAACAAAACAAACAAACAGACAAAATACAAAACTTGTGAGTTTGGTAGTTGGTTAAATGTCCTTTGACCAGTATCTGGCCACTTGGAGTGCCTCTGGTGTTGCTGCAAGGAGGTCCTCCATTGTGCATGTGGCAGGGCTCAGGGTGCATTGCAGCAGGTGGTCAGTGGTTTGCTCTTCTCCGCACTCGCATGTCGTGGATTCCACTTTGTGGCCCCATTTCTTGAGATTGGCTCTGCATCTCGTGGTGCCAGAGCGCAGTCTGTTCAGCGCCTTCCAAGTCGCCCAGTCTTCTGTGTCCCCAGGGGGGAGTCTCTCATCTCTAATCTCTCATCTGGTATCACCCATGGATTGAGGTGCTGGGTTTGAGCCTGCCACTTTTGGACTCTCGCTTGCTGGAGGTGTTCCAGCGAGTGTCTCTATAGATCTTAGAAAACTATTTCTTGATTTAAGTCATTGACGTGCTGGCTGATACCCAAAAGGGGTTGAGCTGGAGATGTCTCTGCCTTGGTCCTTTCACTATTGGCTGCTACTTCCCGGCGGATGTCAGGTGGTGCAATACCGGCTAAGCAGTGTAATTTCTCCAGTGGTGTAGGGCGCAGACACCCGTGATAATGCGGCATGTCTCATTCAGAGCCACATCCACTGTTTTAGTGTGGTGAGATGTGTTCCACACTGGGCATGCATACTCAGCAGCAGAGTAGCACAGCGCAGGGGCAGATGTCTTCACTGTGTCTGGTTGTGATCCCCAGGTTGTGCCAGTCAGCTTTCGTATGATATTGTTTCTAGCACCCACTTTTTGCTTGATGTTCAGGCAGTGCTTCTTGTAGGTCAGAGCACGGTCCAGAGTGACTCCCAGGTATTTGGGTGCGCTGCAATGCTCCAGTGGGATTCCTTCCCAGGTAATCCTCAGAGCTCGGGATGCTTGTCTGTTCTTAAGGTGAAAGGCACATGTCTGTGTTTTAGATGGATTAGGGATCAGTTGGTTTTCCCTGTAATAGGCAGTAAGGGCACCTAGAGCTTCGGAGAGCTTCTTTTCAACCATCTCAAAGCTCCCTGCTTGAGTGGTAATGGCACGATCATCAGCATAGATGATAGATGATGCTGGGGATCCTCAGAGGTAGTGAGGTCTTAGATGCAGGCGAAACGTCAGGAGAGAATGCCTCTAGACCATGGCCATATAGCCCGAAAAAACCTACAACAACCCAGTGATTCTGGCCATGAAAGCTTTCGACAACACAGAAAACTATTTGCCAATAGCAGAGCATTCTTGTAAACAGTAGCCTGTGCAAAAATCCAGTGGGCAGCCCTCCTCTTTGATTAATGCATCTTAATTCCCCGAGGCACACATAATTTACTATTTTCTTCTAGTACAGCGTTTCTCAACCTGGGGGTCGGGACCCCTGGGGGGTTCACAAGGGGGTGTCAGAGGGGTTGCCAAGGGCTATCAGAAAACACAGTATTTTTGTTGGTCATTGGGGTTCTGTTTGGAAGTTTGGCCCAATTGTATCATTGGTTGGGTTCAGAATAATAGTAATAATAATAATAATAATAATAATAATAATAATAATTTATTTATACCCAATGATGGTCCAGATCCATCATTGTTTGAGTCTGCAGTGCTCTCTGGACGTAGGCAAACTACAACTCCAAAACTCAAGGTCAATGCTCACCAAACCCTTTTACTAATAATAATAATTTATTTATACCCCGCCACCATCTCCCCAAGGGGACTCGGGGCGGCTTACATGAGGCCAAGCCCAACAACACATCACCCAACAACACAACAGTGAAAACAAAACAGCAAGCAAATAAAACAGTACAATTGATATAACTCACATATAAACAATAACACAGAGAAAAACCTTATACTCTTAGATTGTAGGTGAACTATAAATCCCAGCAACACCCAAATGTCAAGGTCTATTTTCCCCAAACCCAACCAGTGTTCACATTTGGTCATATTGAGTATTCGAGCCAAGTTTGGTCCAGATCAATCACTGTTTGAGTCCATAGTGCTGTTTGGATGTAGGTGAACTACAACTCCCAAACTCAAGGTCAATGCCCAGAAAACCCTTCCAGTATTTTCTGTTGGTCATGGGAGTTGTGTATTATAAAGCGTTCTTCCTTTAATTGGCCGTCTGGGCAGGGCCAAACAATCCCACCGCTTGACAAGCCAATTATAAAGGAACCTTCGAGGCTTATCAAGGCAGGGGGAAACAATCAAAGAAATCCCACCACTGCAAGACCAATTATAATAACTCAAAAAGAGGCTTTTGTAGGGTTTGAGGGGATGTCTCGTTGTGTAAAACTTTCGCTGCCACCAAACTAAAGAAATCACGAACCCTCTAGTTATTTAAAATATTATCAGGCTGTTTTGAATTACCACAAGGCTTGTTACTCCACCAATGGCTGTGTATAATCAAGGGCTTTCTCTGAGGGGTAAATAGGAGAGGTTGATTCAATAAGGAGAGGACTCTAAACCAAAAATAGCACTTGACTCAGGCTTTAAGTTTAAAAAATAATAAGAAAGAGTTTATTGACTACAAATTCAGAAATAACACGTGAATGCAGGTACTGAGGCTTGATGGTTACAGATAAAAGTGCTCTTGTTTCTTACGAGCGTATTGGTTGCTTGAGAGAATGTTCTTGTCTTAGTTACAGTATCAATAAACACAACACCCAGCTAATTTTCTCAAAAAAAATAGCTGTAATCTCAGTCTGTCACAACCCACTGTGCTGTACAGACTAAAGGCCAACTGCCTATTTTAAACAGAGACTCCTAAAACAATCCAACTTCTACCCTAATCTCTCTCTCAGAACTCCGACTGCTCTCTAACTCTTCTCAGAACTCAGCTGAACTCCCTCTAAAACTGTCAAATCTCACTGTTCTCTTTCCCTCCTTCTGCCTAACTCCGCCCCTATTCTCTAAACCAATCCTAGCTGTTGCTGGGCTGGCACAGGCCTCAGCCACTCCCCCTTCTGCCCTGGAGCTTTTCCCTACTCTAACATGGCTCCAGCAGCACTCTGCCAGGCCTTCTAACTGAATCTACCTAGCCTGTCTTTTCCTGGCCCTGCCACCCTGGCTGGCAAGGTAAGGGATCTTTACATGTATCTTATTGTCTATGAGTTTTTTAATTGCTTGTACTGTTGTTATTATTGCTTGTATTGTTGTGTTTTGGCTCGGCCTCATGTAAGCCACAACAAGTCCCTTGGGGAGATGGTAGCGGGGTAGAAATAAAGTATTATTATTACTATTATTATTATTATTATTATTATTATTATTATTATTATACCATGCCATAGCACAAACTCATATTCCAGCACTCAACCCAATGCACAGTGCAGACTGCAAATCTGAATACGCATCTCTAAACTGCCAAGCCCCCCAAATTCCATAGAATGAGACCATGGCAATTCAAATAGAATCATGGGACTGTGACTATGTAGTGAGAACGGACTCCAAACGTTGGAGATAACAGTGGAATCACAAATGCAATGCTATCTCTCCTTGTGACTCTAGCTGGCCACTCTGGGAACTGGAGCACATTGGGCTGCGAAGCAAAACCGGGATACAACCAGACAACCTGCCTCTGCGACCACCTCACCTTCTTCGCCGTAATGATGGTGAGTGTCAAATTCCTATAAAGCGAGGATTGAATGAAAAGTAATGCCTCCACCTTTGTAATTCCTCAACAGATGGCAGGTACTGGCTTGTTCAGTAGACTCTCCTCTACAGTTCCATTTTGGCGGGAAGCCTTAGCATTGAACAGTTGTGTTGTTAAAGTGCAAGGTATGGAAAATGAGATATGAGATTTGAATGAAAAGTAATGCTTCCACCTTCGTAACTCCTCAACAGATGGCAGTACTGGTATGTGGCAGGTACTGGCTTGTTCAGTAGACACTCCTCTACAGTTCCATTTTGGTGGGAAGCCTTAGCATTGAACAGTTGTCTTGCTAAAGTGCAAAGCATGGAAAATGAGATATGAGATTTGAATGAAAAGTAATGCCTCTACCTTTGCAACTCCTCAACAGATGGCAGTACTGGTATGTGGCAGGTACTGGCTTGTTCAGTAGACACTCCTCTACAGTTCCATTTTGGCAGGAAGCCTTAGCATTGAACAGTTGTGTTGTTAAAGTTCAAAGTATGGAAAATGAGATATAAGATTTGAATGAAAACTAATGCCTCCATTTTCGTAACTCCTCAACAGATGGCAGTACTGGTATGCGGCATGTACTGGCTTGTTCAGTAGACTCTCCTCTACAGTTCCATTTTGGCAGGAAGCCTTAGCATTGAACAGTTGTTAAAGTGCAAAGTATGGAAAATGAGATATAAGATTTGAATGAAAACTAATGCCTCCATCTTCGTAACTCCTCAACAGATGGCAGTACTGGTATGCGGCATGTACTGGCTTGTTCAGTAGACTCTCCTCTACAGTTCCATTTTGGCAGGAAGCCTTAGCATTGAACAGCTGTGTTGTTAAAGTGCAAAGTATGGAAAATGAGATATGAGATTTGAATGAAAAGTAATGCCTCTACCTTCGCAACTCAACAGATGGCAGTACTGGTATGCGGCAGGTACTGGCTTGTTCAGTAGACTCTCCTCTACAGTTCCATTTTGGTCGGAAGCCTTAGTATTGAACAGTTGTGTTGTTAAAGTGCAAAGTATGGAAAATGAGATATGAGATTTGAATGAAAACTAATGCCTCCATCTTCGTAACTCCTCAACAGATGGCAGTACTGGTATGCGGCATGTACTGGCTTGTTCAGTAGACTCTTCTCTACAGTTCCATTTTGGCAGGAAGCCTTTGCATTGAACAGTTGTATTGTTAAAGTGCATAGTATGGAAAATGAGATATAAGATTTGAATGAAAACTAATGCCTCCATCTTCGTAACTCCTCAACAGATGGCAGTACTGGTATGCGGCAGGTACTGGCTTGTTCAGTAGACTCTCCTCTACAGTTCCATTTTGGCGGGAAGCCTTAGCATTGAACAGTTGTGTTGTTAAAGTGCAAAGTATGGAAAATGAGATATGAGATTTGAATGAAAAGTAATGCCTCCACCTTCGTAAATCCTCAACAGATGGCAGTACTGGTGTGCGGCAGGTACTGGCTTGTTCAGTAGACTCTCCTCTACAGTTCCATTTTGACAGGAAGCCTTAGCATTGAACAGTTGTGTTGTTAAAGTGTGAAGTATGGAACCCTGTGAATTCTTGACAGCAGAAGGTGTCACCCCAAAGGAGATTCATCAGAGAATGCAACCTGCTTATGGTGATTGTGTTGACGTGACTACAGTGCGTCGTTGGGCGAGTAAGTTTAAAGAGGTTGAGCTGACACCTTCTGCTGTCAAGAATTCAATGACTGCATGTTGCTTAAGTCGCATTGACCGACCGTCTGTATAGGGTTCCATACTTAAGAACACAACCATTCAATGCTAAGAACACAACCATTCAATGCTAAGAACACAACCATTCAATGTGTATGTGTATGGTCTAATATGTTTCGGCATTGAATGTTTGCCGTTTATATGTTGTGTTCCGCCCTAAGTCCCCTTCGGGGTGAGATGGGTGGAATAGAAATGCTTTAAATAAATAAATAAATAAT